ACTGCAAATATAGCCATAGACAAAGACTGACTTAATGCACCTTTAATGTTATGTCCTGACTTGGAACTACAAAACATTTTGGACATATCTTTGCTCAAAACTACAAACAATTGTCTTAAATTGCTTCTGCTTATCAAGTTCATCTTATCTTCAATCTGCAGTTGGAAACAGCAAAGAAAGCGTACCACATGGCCTGCAAAGAAGAAAAAATTGCATCCACAAGGGAGGCCAATAGCAAAGGAGAGGCGTCAGTCACATCAGATCAGCAAAAGAAACTCCAGGAGAAGTTGGACAAGTGCAAAAACGACGTTCAAAAGGTGAGGCAAGGAAATAATGCATATTATGCACAACATGCATTTTTAATAACAATTTCATAGCATAAGCAAAACAAAAGTTATGTTTACGGTCATGCACTTACATTGAAAATCTACGGAACAACTGGGACATTCCTTTAAATTGTGTGAATGGCTTAAATTATTGTCAATATTTGGTTTTGTATTTTAGCAGTATCCATAAAATGTTGGCCTGCCGGCCTGGTTTCTTTCGATATGTATTTTATGTAAAATTCCTGTTGCACTTTATGTGACATTTCTTTCACCCGTCTGTTAACAAAAAAATCCGCTTTTAAAGTTCAACACAATAGAAGCAACAGACGGCAGCGAATGGAAATATCCTCAAGCAATTTCATCCGCTATTCATTACACCAGCAGGTCCGACTCCCCAGAGCTTCCTTTCATATTACTACTCTGCCTCTGGAACACTTAATGGGAAACAACACAGGGATGTTCAATAAATGGCCCTCTAACGCACTGTACAGCCAATTCATTAGCCTTTAACCTAACCCAGCATCCATTAGAAGCACTTCTATCACTTCAGCTGAGTCCCAGAGGAATCAGCTGAGCCACAGTACAACAATAGACAAGTTGGACAGTTGAGTGACGGCTGTAGTTATCTATGAAACCATCCCATGTGCATTTATAAAACCAACCCATATAATGATATTAGTCAATTATGATAATGTATGCATGCTGTTGCAAGTATTGCAGCCTAGAAATGCAGGTTTACTCATGCAAATAGCACACAATATATATGAAAAAAATCTTAATTGTCCTAAAATAGTTTTATTTCTTGTGAAATATATTTGCCTAAAATGGGTTTTGCATTTTGTCATTATTTTCATGACACTTAATCACATTTCCCTTACAAATATTCATTATTTCAGTGTCTAAAAATTGCCTTATTTCTTATTTTATATACAGTGGGTACGGAAAGTATTCAGACCCCCTTCAATTTTTCACTCTTTGTTATATTGCAGCCATTT